CGAGATATTCGTTTGCTGACTAAAGGACGAGTGTACTGTGCAGTGGTTCGCTCCGTCTTACTTTATGGCTGTGAAATATGGCCAATGAGAGTAGAAGATACTCGTCGGTTATTGGTTTTCGATCAAAGGTGTCTTCGAAGCATTGCTCGTATATCGTGGGACACCCGAGTGAGCAACGCTGTTATTAGGAAACGGGTACTAGGTAAGAATGGCAGATCAATAGATGAAGCATTGAAACTTCATCAGTTGAGGTGGTTGGGACACGTGTTGCGTATGCCTAACCACCGACTGCCTTGACACTCTATATTTTGTGGTGTAGGAATAGGTTGGAAGAAAGTTAGGGGCGGCCAAACCAAAACATGGCATAAATCCATGAAGTCATTGACAAGTGGACTGATTCATGTCGGTAATTGTCGACTACCTGGTTGGGGTCCGCGAGATGATAATAATCGATGGTTAGAGACCTTGAATGACATGGCTCAAAATCGTTCGCAATGGCGCCAGTGCATTTATTCTTTGTGTTCTCTCAAATCCTAATCTTCTGGATTCTTCAACAACTCTAGTTTTGACTTTCTAAACTTTTCTCATTAAATCATACTTCTTGAATAATATCTTCTTATTCTAACCTCTCCGATTACTTCTAATACCTTTTACTACCTCTTCTACTATTGGATTTGAATTGACAATTATATCTCTGTGCTGATGTGGTATGGCGACATGAACTGATGTACTTACGTACGAAGTTCTACGTTGCAACTGACTGACTGAATTTAAGCAGTATCACTGACCGAGACAGTTTTATTTACTGCCTTTAGAGACACAAATGTTTCTGTGAAAATAACAGATTACACATTCAGTGTTTAAACGGATTGTGTACATGTAAACAACTCATTAAAAGGCAATTATTATTAGGGAACGATAATTTCAAACACAAATGACCATAGAAAAAAAAAACCCGATAATATAACAAAACTTACGGTGAATCACAATTTACACCATGCTCTACAGTATCATTCATCAAGTAACCATTTGTTGGATAGGTATTTTGTTCCACTGATGATTTAACACGTGAAACTATTTGTAATGTAAGACAAAAATGAACATAGAACAAGTATAAACAATCAAAGTACAGAAAAGAATAGATTATTAAAATAACAAGGAAGATAGGGAAAAGGAAATATGATAATGAAAAGTCGAGAAATCATATTGAATAATTTTCAACTAGGATATACAGGAACTGTGAATGTCACGGCTGCTATCAAGCAATACAAATTATGATATGATGAGAATTAAACCAATTATTCTGTGGCAATTTAATAGTTTGAGTTTTCTTCGGGCAGAGTTTTTGGAGGTTTGTGTTTTTACACATTTGAAATCACCAATCAATGATTGTTAGACCAACATTAGAAACCTGAAAGCACTGAAAGACGGTCGTTTCGTTCTGGTATGGGACTCGTCAGCAGTGCGCATCCACGACTCCTGCACCTCGCAGGATTCGAACCCGGGACCTTCGGTATTGTGCGCGAACGCCTAACCATCGGACCACTGGGCCGGCATCCAACGGTGTTAATGTCTAACGGTTTTTTGCGCGATCTCACCCATTTGTCTTTGGTAGTTACTGCCTACACCCGACATGTTTGAACTCCATTTGTCACGTCTTCTCAACTAGAACTCCGAGAATTTCCTCACGAAGCTAGTCACTAGTGAGCACTGTTACGATATTTTCGGGCAGAGTTTTTGGAGGTTTGTGTTTTTACACATTTGAAATCATCAATTTTTTTAATTGTAAACTCATTAATCGAATATTTTTTATTTGATGTACTCAGTTTTGTAATATAATTGAGGGTGAACATGAAAGTATACAGTTATAGGCAAACTGAAGTAACTAGAGTTAGATTTCAGTCTGTATGATCAACTAATTGATTGAAAGTCAAGTGTTTCAAAGGTTAACCCACTGGGGTTCTACTAACACACGGTAAAATTAGATTTTATTTGAATAAAGTAAACAGAAAGATATACATTGTTATGATTTCACATTACTTGAGTGAGAAATTTGAATTAAAGTAGCTGTAATCAGAAAGCAATTGATAAAACAGAAGAAATATCAGACAATCGTTTTATGTTTCAGTAAAACAACAAATTAGTTGCAAGCTTTATTTCAGTATTATATAATTATAAAACCAGTAGTTTTGTGAAATTAAGCATAGTGATTAAAGTCTACACATATTTTAAAAACTGAACTCTTTGATTTGGATAGCTGATAATGTTCTTCTATACAAAGTCATTAATACAAACTTCGAATAGATTTGAACTATGACACCAGAAGAATCAATAACAACCAGTCGAAATTGAAGGGCGACAGAATGAGCTGGTAGTCAATTATAAATAATGATGTTAACTAGTAAGACAATGAAAAAACTACACAATGGAACTACACAGCTTAGAGAATGTAATTTAAACAAAAGCCTGTGTCTGAGCTATCAATATTTTACTTAAATCTATCATAATCACAGTTCAATCAATTAATCAATCAACAGCAACGTAGAACTTTGTTCGTACGTATGTACATCAGTTCAAGTTGTCATACTATATATTAGCACAGAGATGTAATTGTCAATTCAAATCCTATTGTAGTAGAGGTAGTAAAAGTATTAGAGAAGTAATCGGAGAGATTAGGGTTCAACGGTATTATTCAAGAGGTAGAACCTAGTGAAATAAACTTAAAAAGAAAAGGATTAAGGTGATGAGGAATTTAGAAGGTTAGGATTTGAGATAACACAAAGAATGAATACACCTGTACCATTGCAAACGGTTTTCAGCCATGTCAATCAGGGTCTCTAACCATCGATTATTATCATCCCGCTGACCCTAACCGGATAGTCGACATCTACCAACATGGCTCACTGCACTTGTCAGTGACTTCATAGATTTGTGCCAAGTTTTGGACTGACCGCACCTAGCTTTCTTCCAACCTATTCCTACATCGCAAAACATAGATGGACAAGGTATCCAGTGGTTAGGCATAGGTAACACATGGCTTTTGCCAACCTGCGTCACTTATGGAGCAGTCGAGATATCCGCTTGTGACCCAAAGGACGAGTGTACTGTGCAGTAGTTCGCTCTGTCCTACTATACGGATGCGAAACATGGCCGTTAAGAGTACAGGACATTCGTAGGTTACTAGTCTTCGATCATCGGTGTATCCGAAGCATTGCTCGTGTATCATGGGACGACCGAGTAAGCAATGCTATCGTTAGGAAACGAGTTCTAGGTAGGGATGGCAAATCAATAGATGAAGCATTGAAACTTCATCAGTTGAGGTGGTTAGAACATGTGTTACGTATGCCTAACCACCGACTGCCTCGACCAGCTATGTTTTGTGGTGTAGAAGTAGGTTGAAAGAAAGTTAGGGACAGCCAAACCAAAACATGGCAGAAATCCATGAAGTCACTGACAAGTGAACTGAGTTATGTTGGTAGATGTAGGCTACCTGGTTGGGGTCCGCGAGACGATAGTTACGGATGGTTAGAGACCTTGGAAGACATGGCTCAGAATCGTTTGCAATGGAGCAGGTGCATCTACTCTTTGTGTTCTATGAAATTCTAAGCTTCTGCATCCCTCATAATATCCACCTTTCTCCTTCTAAATTTATCTCACTGAATTATATCATATCTTCACTCCCTAATCTTCTCCATTGCTGCTAATAATTCTACTTTCGCTATCACTCTTGGATTTGAACCGACAGTTACGTCTCCGTGCTGACGTGATACGACAAGCTGAACTGATCTACTTATGTACGAAGTTGTATGCGTTGTATCTGTCTGTCTGTCTGTCTGACACATGTCCACAATCAAATTTAAAGTATTCAAATTGATGTCAAGCACAAATGTCAATAGTATGCAAGGTTCTTCTTTAGAACATATTCTTAATTAATGATATTAGTTCATGATTAAAAGAAAAAAAATTACTTCTAGACTGACTATCTATAACAAACAATAAACTACTTATTAATGATTAACATTGATCAAATGAATGACATAATAAGTATAAGTATATAATAAAAATTATTTATATATATAAACAATAAAATTCTAATCATTATTATTATTCAGTGAAACACGAACAACCAGAACAAAAAAAAATGAAGACAATTACACTGAAAATGTATATATATATATATATATGTCATTAGTGAAAATAAACAAATTATACCAACTGGTTAAATACAAATCTAAAATATCAAGTAAGAGAAGTACACACACACAAACACGTTACAATTATTTATATAAACAAAGCATTTTGCATAGTGAATAAACAATAAGTTGCATCATCAACATTGCATCAAGTTTGAAAACTTAACCACACCTAGACAAGTGGTGTTTATATTATAAACTATTGGCATATATTTTGAACAAATCAAAAAAAAAATAAATAGAGACAGACTAAAAAAAATTAAAATCAGTCTGTTATTTTGGTTAGGGTTAGGGTTGAATTTTTTACGGGAGAGAAGAAGAAAGTGAACTTTACAGTTATATTTTTGCAATTGCTTTACAGCAGAGACCAGTAAAACAATACAGAAAAACTGACACACATCATCGACATACGTACGACATGGCTTACATATGTGATTTGGAGTATATTTCTGCATCAGATTAACAACATAACGAGATAACGATAACAAATAAGATTGAAGCAATGTAGCAGCAATGATAAAATTAAGGATTGATTGGACAAACTAAATTGGAAAGGCATGTATGAAGGGATACTGGGATTTCAGATTGAAAGGTAGATAAAGAGTGAGTATATTTGTGTTAACGTGAACGATTCTAAGCCATATCACCAACCATAGTCTTCAACTACCGATCACGCAGACTTCAACTAGGTATTAAAAAGACGCAAGTCAATAGCTGGAGCCATAAATAGTATCTCTAATTCAAGGTGTAGATTATTTACAAACTAATGTGTCTACTTCATCCAACATTTCAATGTATGCCGATGACATAGCCCTACTTGGTGAAGACGTTGACAAAATGCAAAGTCTTCTGACCACCCTAAGCAACAATGCAAGCATATTCCCCCCTGCAAATGCAAAATATTGCTTCAAAATTGGGTTGCATCGGCACCTGAACTAGTGGATAGGGGAGTGAAGTAGTTGGGCGTGTTGTCCGCTACACTTATCTGGGGAGTCTCATCACTGCTGATGGCCTGGTGACTGACGAAATCTCAACTCGGATACAGAAGGCTCGATTGGCTTTTGCCAACCTGCGTCTAAAGAACGAGTGTACTGTGCAGTAGTTCGCTCCGTCTTAATTTATGGCTGTGAAACATGGCCAGTGAGAGTAGAAGATATCCGGAGGTTACTGGTTTTCGATCATAGGTGTCTTCGAAGCATTGCTCGTATATCCTGGGATACCCGAGTGAGCAACGCTGTTATCAGGAAAGTATATCTATGATCCTACGAAAGCTGATGTTCACTGTGAAATTAGAACATTCATCCGGTGGTGTGATAATTTCAGACACTACCAGTGAGACATTCTGAATGCTATTGGACTCCTATAGAGTTGATGTTTTTGCATTGATTGGTCACTAATGTCACGATTATCTTAACATTATTACTGCATTAAAATATAGTGCCCAGGATGTTTAGTCACTTAAACTTGATCGTACAATGAAAACCTAATCTTTGGAATCCAGTCAACAATGACATCTCAAACAATGAATATGAGTGATATGAGTTCGAATCCGACATAAACAGTAGCAGATTGTAGGTGTATCTTGCTGGCGAGTACTGGGAAACACAAAACCTAAGTTAAGAAGGATTTCTTGCCAATTACCAACCAACGTAACTTGATATCGCATCTACTATGTTGACATATTAGGTGGTTGGAGATAGTCAGTAGAAAACGCGGAACCCGCTACGTGTGCTAGCTGATTCAGTATTGACATTTCAGACGGTGAAGGTGGGTGATATGAGTTCGAATCCCACGTACTTGGAACATAAAACCTAGGTTCTGAAGGGTTTCTTGCCGACTACCTCCAAACAACATAACATACAGAGAGAAACAATTTCAAATTGTTAGTATAATTTTTCAACTTGTTCATTTAATCAGAATTACAAAATCTATCAATAAAATTGAACGATTAAACAGACAGACAAAATTTACAAAATATAATTAGACAGAATTTTAAGTTAGGAAAAAAAAGTGAAATAAGAATGTTGAAATGTTGAACGAATGAATTGAGATGAAAAAAGAACACAGCAAAAACAACAACAATAAATGAATGTTAGATAATCTACTTAACAGTAATTAGACATAATTTCTCTGTTTTTCATCGAATCATCATCATCATTCAACCAGTTCGCATTTTTTTGTTTCAGTTGAATTGTGTATTTAATGTAAACTAATCAACACAACATACAAAGGATTAAGTGAAATTAAGTAAAAACTTTTTTTGTCTTTCTGTTAGATAGACAATAACAAACTATAGCATACTGAGTAGTAGTAACGTAAGCTCTTCTGATTTTCCAGTAACTCGTGTTAGATGAGATAATAGGTTGATCAAGACAAATTACATAAGTTAAATATTTATCTTATATTTAAGAGGAAAACATTTTATCGGCCAATCGTCAACATCATCTTTGATAAAAATAAATTTACGAGAGAGAAAATCAATCGACAAGATTCCATTTTCCTATGCCCTAGTCACAATACCTTTTCGTCACTTCCACCTACACCCTAACAAACTACAGTCCGGATTCAATCAAAGATGAGTTCTACCAGAAGTTGAATGATCTTATCCAGAAAGTGCATTCGAAAGATATTGTAGTGCTAGCCAAAGACTTAAATGCACAGGTAGGGTGTGGCCACTGAGAACTGGTTGGTTCCAGGTCACATGACGGCTATGGTCTGCTGCCAGACCACAACCTGTTTCTGGTTAGCACTAACCACTGACACAGTCATCGCCGATGTGCTACATGGTGTCCTTACTCTGTATCTCAAGACTGGACTCAGACTGATCACACCGCGATCAGACATCACTGGTGTGGTTGTGTACGACACTGTCGCTTCTTTAGGAGTTCTTGTCTGGATTCTGATCATGCCCTTGTTTGAGCTAGTCTTAGCTACGTTTTAATGGCCAACAAATTCATCGTCCAGACTAGATTGATGTCACTAAATTGATTGCAACTTCTGTTGCAACTAAGCATAAAACCGAGCTAGGCTCGCTATCGACCCAATCAAAGCTACAACAACCGTATATACTACAATCAGGAAGCCTGAACCTACCAACATGCTCAATTCAACAATAAATAACTTTGTGAACTGAAGATATTTTCGTCTAGCTGCTCCTACCTTTCTCCCGATAAAACACTACTTCTTTTGATTAGTTTTCTAATAACAAACTAAGATAATAGTTATGAAATAAGTCATTAAACACATGTATCTAAGTGACTTTTGTGATTCGAACCCTTAACGTCTGTTTTACTCCGACTACTAACACTAATACTGTCAAAACTATAGTAATCAAGTTGAATTAGCATGTACACCTTCTACTGACAAGTGTTAACAGTATCTTCAGTCAATTATCATCAAATAAAGAGAGTAAAGCATCACCATCATTAATACTACTATTATTATGACATATTAGTAATTAAACACGAATTGAGTAGTGATTTTATTGAAAAGATATGAGCACACATAAAGGTATGCTTATGAAAATTTCAAAGATTAACAATAAAAACATACTTTCAGTGTTTTGTTGACTAGAAGCATTAGTTTTACTTGTTGTAACACCCGGGTAGACATTCTGATTATCATTTAAAATAATATCATTTACACCATTCACCATTTTCTCGTAATCATTACATGAAGTGTCTCGTTCAGATTGCTGATTCAATGATGCTGATGGCAAATGTTTATTATTCGGTCCGCCGTAACTTTCAGTTGATTCAGCTAAATCCTGTAAATAATAATAATAAAAATAATGAGAAAATATAAAAACTGTGAAAGTCAATAACATAAGGAAAAAGCTAGTTTAAAATAAGTTACATTCTGTACTGAATGAAAAGGAAAAAGTGATCTAATTGTAGTTAACAATAAGTAGTTTTACTACACTTTAAGATAAATTACTATGTGATGAGTAAGCACATACGTACGTAAGCATTTATGAACAGTTGTCTTAGTAAAATACTTCGGATTTGTTGGCAAGACACTATCAGCAGCAACTTACTTTGGGAGAGAACAAACCTGATTCCAGCGAAGAAGGAAATCAGGAAGAAGCGGTGGAAGTGGATAGGACACACACTGAAAAAAGCACCCAACTGCATCACAAGACAAGCTTTCAGTTGGAACCCTCAGGGCAGAAGGAAAAGAGGAAGGCCAAGGAACACATTACGCCGAGAAATAGAGAAAGATATGAGAGGAATGAACAAAAACTAGAAAGAACTAGAAAGGGAAGTCCAGGACAGAGTTGGTTGGAGAAAACTGGTCGGTGGCCTATGCTCCATTGGAGGTGATAACAGGCGTAAGTAAGTAAGTAAGAGCAAGCACATCATTCCGAAAGTTAGATGAAGTTAATTAATGATAGAATCTGTAATATAACGAATGCCAAATGAATGTTCAGGTGCCAGAGTATAGACTTATAGTAAAGTAAGATAGCAGCTCTATTAAAAGAATCAATCATTATTTGAAATGTAGGTGTTAGAGGTTCACACGAGTAAGTATACTTAGTTCAAAATAAAACAGATGTAAGGAACGCAGTCAAATAATTCCAACAGTCTTCAAACACGCCAACTTTTTTATCCTGTTTTCTAAGAATAGATTAACAATTTAAGAAATTTAGGAAACCACGAAATTCGGCTTAACTTAGTTTCTAGTGGATGTGGCACTAACTTTGGTAACTTGAACTAATGCATAAGCGTATTTGACTCTTACTTGTTTCGACTACTTTTAACAAGCATTCGAATCCATTTGATAAAATGGAATCAATAAAGAACATTGTAACTCATGAGTAAAACCTAAATATGATAATTTGATTGGTTTAACTAACAACAATGAACTATCCATGTAGCTGTACTGATGTGAAGTATGAGAGTTCAAATCACCACATATTTACCTGTTGTCTTCCGTTACCTGTTTAAAGCTGACAAGATGAAGATGAAATCAAGTCAACACAAGTGAGATACCTTAACCTGTCTAAGATTAGTCACGGCATTTTCAAATTTAGTTAAGGTTCAAAAAACCATAGATTGTTGGTTTCCTTTTCAGCTAGAGGTTAAGTGTGTGATAATCAAATGATATTTAAGACTACCACTGAGATTTTAAGTCATCTCAATTTCGAGGACAAACCAATCTTGCCATATCTTGTGGGTCCTAGGCTAAATAACTGAAATTATTTGACAATCAACCACTGGCTGATAAGTTAATACCTTGCTTTACTTAAATCATTATTAGTGCGTACATGGTATGATTGAAAGCTGATTGCAGTAAGCTATTTTACGTTATCAAGTTAAGATGTTCTAAAAGAATTTAGGCCAAATCTGGTTTTGATTCTTTCTAATTCAAACCTGATGAAGATAACTTGATGAAAATCAATGAACACGATCAGAGCTAAAGAGAACTTTTATTGTGATAGTTTACCCTTCAGAATGTATACTTTTACTAGATGAATAAGCTTAATTCGACTATAGTAGTAACTAAATAGAAAGGGTCATGAAATTCAGGAGTGAATATGCAGAATAACGTACAAAAACACTTACAGAGGACAAAGTCGGACGTTTTTGTAGCGATATTCCTGTAGGTTGTACAGGATATGCTTGGTTAGTTACTTGCTGGTTAGGTAATAACTGCTGACTCGGTATTTGGTGATTGGGTTGTTGATATTGGTTTTGTTGCATATCTTGCTGATAACTAATATTAGCTGTCGTTGTTACATTAGAAGGCAACTGATCACAAGTAACAGGAGGCCTACACTGTTGTTGTTGTTGAGATTGTAAAGCCTGTTGACGATGTAATGCAGCTAAACTTTCTAAAGCCGATTTTACAGCAGCAGCAAATGCATCCGCTTCTTCAACTGATGTGAAATTTAAACCATAAACTTGTTGTCTACTATCGCGCCATTGATGAAATGTTGGACGAGCTTGATGATATTTTAACCCACGTGCAATTGCACAATTAATAACAACCTAATTGTTATATACACATAAAAAGGCAGGAGTAACTATAGTACATTATAATAAATGAATTAATATAACATAAGGTGGCCATAACAAGAATGAGGGTTTTTAAGAAAAAATTTTAGGTTTCGAAATAAATATTTAGTGAATATTGATACCAGTTAGGGGAATAATTGTAGCAGGGAACGATGATTACTAATACTTTGAGTCACGTAGTTGGCTTTTAAGTGATGAACACTTTCAAATCAACTTTATCCAATAAAACTGAATTGTTAGCTAACTTCTAAATTTTACATGGAAGTTATAGCATATAATTTTGATAAAGTCGATAGATGGTGAATGTTTGTTGACATTGGACGATAACTGAATGATGTTGTAGACCAAACTGAATCGGTTAAGTGATAATTACTTGTATTCTAAAATAGATTCACAGTATAAAAGAGTATGCAAAAGGCGTTTGATTGGATTCAGAAACGGATTGATGAGCCAAATCAGGTAATATTGAAGAAATCGCAATACGATACAGTTATGAAACATTAACAAATATAGATATAATGACTGAAATTTTTATTTCGATATCGATTTCCTTTAAAGATAGGAGCTTATAAAAAACAAGGCTACTGCTTTATAATTACTACAAAAGAGATTAGTGATAAAAACCTATGGTGAATAGCTTTAAGAATCCATTTAAAAGGTTTTCAAAAATAGCCACACCTTCATACCTCACGATCTGGCAACCTCCATCCAACAACTCGGTAGGCATTAGTCAACGTATTGTGATACAGTTGAACTTTGGAAATGCCATGACCTGGACCACTAGGAATCCAAGTACTAGCTTTCGAATCATATAACATAACATTCGCTTTTGCTGTGGCCACGGCACACTCACTATAATGAAAAAAAGACAATGTTGAAAATATTCCCAAAAATATCATATTTTGCAAATTATTTAAAACCTTTAGTAATTTGACTTTAATTGTTAGTGCTTCATGATGCTTCGTCTTTCCTGCCTTCGTTAAAGGCTAAAATTAGGCAAAACTTACAGCTTTTGCATCTGCATCGAACTTTTGTCTACTGTAAGACCAATGCAGCTCTCTGAAACGCATCGTTTAATTATGTATTCCTAAGTCATCTCAGGGAGAACTCTTACAGAAACATTATTTCATTCTTTACAAGACAGGCACCTTAATACCTGGAAAATTATATATCATGTTAGTCCTAATCTAAGAGAATCACATCAGTTGGCCGCCTTAAGTAGATCAAATGAAAGAGGCCAAGAAATGTCATGGAAGAAAAAAGTTAATTCGTAACGAGTATGAAAACCATTGTCAAACCATATAATCATTGACTACTGGTCTGAGTCATTTCGGAATGCTATGTATATAGCTTGGAGAAAGATCGTTATCTATGGGTATAATTAGTGAATCGGATAACACGAAATTGGTACAACTGTATTAATTTTCTATAGCTGGTGGACGAAGTTAAGTAAATATGAAGAATGTTAGAGCAGATGTGATTATAAGATAGTTATACCCAATAATTCTAGTTCAGCGGATGTAATCGGCTAACTTAAATGGAACATAACAGATAGGTAAGTGGGTAAATTTAACCAAACTTACACCATATCAAACCAATAACTGTCACCACTCGCTACTTTGGATTGACCTTGGGAGATTGAAAAAGTCAGTAAGGCTTCGAACCTGTAAAATAGAGTGAACAAAGAGAACAAACAAAGTGTTTTTGAGAAAGTGGTGAATCAGTAGATAAAAGCCACTCTCAACAAGCCTAATTTCTGGTTCTGAACTCAGAAAGCTGTCCAGCATTCGTAATAAAGAGAAGTATTGCTAAATACTGTCCAGAGTCCTTAAGAATGTTTCTTCCAATATCCAATATCTTTTTCACGATCTTGTGTAAACCAATTTGATTTCTTTGCGCTGGACTCTTGTTCTTTCGGTATGGTTCCAGGTGTTCGGTAATGTTCAATGGATGGAGGTCTAGCCACTCGACTGTCTAGTTCTAGTCAGTTGGAAGTTGGTTCTGAGTTTGTATGTCTCGGGATTTGAATGTAAACGTTTGTTTCAGGGCAGTAGGGTTTCTGGATACTAGCAGCCGTCACATTACTAAACCGGAGATCAGTTAGTTGCAATGTGGAGAGTAATAAGGGTAATAAGGATAAAATTAAAATGATGATATGAATAAAGTTTCAGAACTGAGTAATATATAGATGAATTTAGTTTATTAATTGGTAGTGAAGATTGTGTGAGAGGACTGAAGTGTAAGCAAGGGAGAGGAAACAGAGATAATAGGCGAGATAGATTAATTGAGTGATCTGAGATTGCAATGGTAACAACTAGCAGGTCTCAAGTTATGTATCATGAACAGCTTGTCCAAGAGGGAGATGATAATCCGTGTGTGAGTACGTGATTATCAAATCTCTTCTTAAAGCAGTCCATTGAGAGGGCTGTGGTTATCTCGGCCGGGAGAGCATTCCAAGTTGCAACGACTCGCTCTTTGATGTGCAATCTTTCGAGGATTGCATCGAGGGGAGTGGTGGTGATGCATCGGTAAGATGCTCACATTGGGATGGTTCGGCGTGCTAAATTTGTTGTACGCCATAATCAGATCACCTCTGGTTCTGACGTAGCTCAGTGGAAATAATCCCAAGAGCTGGAGGCTATCGTCGTAAGGTTTTTTCAACCATTCATCATCCATTTTCATCCATTCGGTTGCTCATCTCTTTTGAGCAGAGGGGGTGAACCTCCAGGTGTGGGCGCGCGTACGTCTTAAATAGGGTCAAATATAATTGCGGGGTAATAGTACCAAGTCGTCTTCGAATAAAGTGAAGAGCTGCATTTGCCTTGGCTGCATCCCCTCATAGTTCGGACTCGTGTGGAGGCTTTCTGTGGTTATTAAACCAAGATCTCGCTCTGAATAGACATTAGGGAGCGGACTTCCATTGAGGGTATAGATCGTTTACGTCGTGTGAGACAGAATATGCATGACGTGGCACTTTGGTTGGTTGAGTTTTCAACCGTTTTTTACTGCCCATTTCTCAATAGATGTAAGGACCTTTTGAAGCTCAGTCGAATCCTCTTCGCTTCTAATAGACCTCCAGATCTTCGCATCGTCTGCGTAGATCAATGCCGGTGAGCTAACTGAACCTAGCAGGTCGTTAATAAATATCAGGAAGGGGAGTGGGCCTAGGATGGTCCCCTGTGAAACTCCTGAAGTGGATACTCTCCAACTCGCGTGCACCCTGTTTACCTTGGTACGAAACTTTCTATTCTCAAGGTAGTTTCTGAGCCAAGATAGGAGTGGATCAGTGTAGCCCATTTCCACAACCTTTTCGATTAGGCATGCGACGGGTACTGTGTTAAAGGCTTTTGAAAGTCGAGAAATATTACGTGCACGGGTATTTTACGGTCCAAACAGGATGTCCAACTGTCCAATGCAGTGAGAAGATTAGTTGCACAGGTCCTGCCTTTCTGAAACCCGTGTTGAGCTTCATGGAGTATTTTATTCTTTTCCATGTATTCCCTAATTTCTTCGTCCACTAGCCCTTCCATAACCTTTGATAGTATTGTTAGTGATGCGACTGGTCTGTAACAGGCTGGGTCCTTCTGTATCCTCCTTTGAAGATTGGAGAGAGAAGAGATTGTTTCCATTCAGCTGGGAATTGGGTTACTTCAGTGAATGCCTGAACAGGTCACATATCGATGGACAGAGGACTTCTTCACATTGTTGCGAGACTATGGGGCGGATTTTATCAAAGCCTCGTGACTTACCTGTGCGTAAGGATTTTAGTTTCTCTGGTACTAAGTCAGGTGTGATATGGATATTCCCTAAGCCGTCAGCTGGCAATGGGTTGGCGTGGTACTCTGAACATGTGGGCGCCAGGTTTAACAGGTCAGAAAAGTTAGTGTTGAAGATCTTGGCCATCTCTAGGTTGGTGAGGTCTTCCCCCCTTGGTCCTTTGACAGAACATAACTCTTCATTAGTAGGCTTTATTTTGGACATGAACCTAAACAGATGCTTCGGGTTTGCCACTATTTTGGCAGCTAGATTCGTCTGAAATTGTCTCCTGTCACTTCGAACTTTGGTATTGCATGTTTCTCAATGCCAAGTAAGAACTTCGATCGGAATCCTTCAAGGAGACCTCCCACTTGTGCCAGGCTCTCCTCTTCGCCTGTAGCAAGCGTTGACAACGTTACATCTTCAAATAATCACAATCCTTCATCGAGAGTGAAGAACCGAGCTTTACTAGTGTTGCCAGCTCCCTTGTATTTGTGGTTATGAAAGTTGACTTCAGGAACTTTGGAGTCTCCTTAAATTAATATGAGTGTATCCGAGACAAATAAAATTAGATAATCCTTCAAGCATGTGGATGTCCTACTCAGTGTCAGTAGTAGGTTTTCTCTAGATGGCTCCTACAATATGACCACACTGAACACCATTTTAATTCATCAAGATAGACAAACTTTTGAGTTAAAACTAATTGTGCTACTAAGTAAGATCTCAGACGTCTCCATTCAACTCCGCCGTCGCAAAATGACAAGATATGCTGGAAATTTCCATCTCTTGGTCCGGGATTTATGAAGATACCCATGTTCCGATATATTCATCGGATGAGTGCTTTTGACATTACTTAGTTCAGGCAACTCGATAATTTTGTTCAATAAATTCGCAGTGTTCGTACATAAAAACAGTTAATACTCATGAATTGAACCTCATGAGTGTTTTCATTCGGTTAGATTGGATGAACCTCGTTCAAACAGCCAGTTACCTACTTAAACATCGCTTTCCGAAAAGGGTTGTCCTCGTCCCTTTTACATTTATCTTGCACTCGACAGTCTGCACGTGGATTGGTTATTCCCGATTTGCTTTTAGGCTCAATTTTTGTATCGCATGTCCTTGACCGAATCCGCTTGTTTCAGAGTAGTTTGATACTGGGGCCCTCTTTGTTCAATAGTTGGATTCCAATCCAAGCACCCACAATTTTTGCCGACTTGCTGAAAGTTCTTCGGAATAGACGGTAGCAGTCCATTAACTGACTTTTTGTCCACAACATGGGCTGCTAAACATCTTTGACGGTTACCTTCGATCATTCTTTCCCTGTTGACAGGAGTCCATTAATCTTCATTGGAATGTTAGCGGACCACATTTGCGTTTGGGGAAAATATGTTGAGCTACCTAAGTTTGCCAAGAGAGTTTAACACTATCGATGTTATAACGGCTCTAAGTTTCATCATTTTTTCTTCGGAGTCCGTATTTGTCCCACTAATACTGATTTTATTGAAGGCCACCCCCTTCCCAGTCATCGACGCTGTTGTTTAACCGTCCGTTTCTTGACTGCCCTTTGTCGGAATTGTCGAAAGTTTTTTGCTCATACACATCAGAACACTGAAGATGTTACTTACCATATTCTCAGTATTTGTTTTTCATGTACTGCATGTTCACATGAAATCTGTAATAAACAGCTGTCATAAGATCTATGCATACTCTATGGGACAGCCAATTTCATTTGCCACATTGCATGCCGTAAGTGACGTCAAAATGGCAGCTATGACGCTTGTACGTGCCCTTGAATTGAAGTAATTAAGCAGTTTGTAATAAAAGTTCATAAGCGTACGAAAAAAGCTGTACAACTGCATAAATTTGGGTATTTCACTGGCATTATTAACAAGCGGCCATAATTCATCTACAGATGGGCACCAAAATATAGGTTCTAGGTCCCTTATATTTTCATAGATACCTTTATTTCCGACAAATTGTGGCAGTTTACAGACTTGAAATCTAATACCTAAGTGATGCTTTGTATTCATTTACAGAAATCACCATACATTACACATGAATGCAATGAGATTTTTTAATTCAAGCAGTTAATTGCTACACTTAATAATCTTATTAAAATGAACTGAATCCTTAGTTAATATGTTTTCAGTCTCAACTTGCTAGGTTTTAACTTTTTTAATGTTAGTATCTTTTGGCTTGCTAACATCACTGTCATTCTGGATCACATCGCACATTTTTCGTGCTAGAAAATTTATTGAAAATTGTATACTCTACAACCAGGTTTCATTGGATGTAGCATTTGTAATCATACAACAATTAATTAAATTTTATAATACTAATTATTGATTAATAAGTAGTAAGAAAACTTACTTTATTCCTTAATGTCTTCAGATATACATTTAAAAGAGCTTGCAGATATTCAGGATCACCAATGTAGATCAAGGCTCACTAATATAGATGTACGAGTGGAAAGACTATGAACACATGTACGAACCAAACAAGTTCCGATCCCAAGAGTTATTATCTCAAATCTTTCATCAAAAGTAAGAAGACCGGATAGTCCAGATAAAATGACGTTATTTGCTGGAGATTTCGTAGCATCGAAAGAATATTGAAAAGTGCCAAAGAATTAGGCGAAAGTACAAAGCAGCATAATCAAGATAGCGACCTCCGAAGTGGAGAAGCGCGGTACCAAAGTACGAATAAATTGAAACAAGCTAACTACTGACAGTCTAAAAAAACATCTAAAATCCAATGATTATGTATTCCATTTACTTCCTAGATTTATCCCGTTACAAAATCAGATTTCCTTAAAAATACTATACTAAAAATCCATTAGAAAATCATTTGGTAGTACTGTGGTGCGTGCTACTTATAAGTAGTATATGACGCGAGTGTCAACGTAATGTCTGGCACCAGAAGATGGAAGAAGATCAAGCAAGAAAGGAAGAGTGGGAACACAATGGAATTTGTATGAAACGCATGAACAGTGGAATGTAAGACAATGGATTGATGATAGATTGATGTTTTGCAAATTAACCGTTTACGACATGGTTTTCCTATTTTACTGAGTAACTCTGTAATTTTCGTTAAATACAATTCGGTTGACCTCACCTGTGTTCTCCTTCACTACAGTACAAATATTCCAGGTATTTCACTCATTAAATCAAAACATTTACAAAGAAAATAAACATTCATTAAAACATCCAGAATTAATCATGTATGCAATTGTATACAATTATAATCTCTTTTAAACTTGTTGTATACCTACCTATTTGTCCAGGTGTATTAATTACTCAAAGATAATAAGTTTATTAACACAAAAAATGTACAAAAGAATTAGGTCATCATACTAAAAAAATATCTAACCCTAACTTCGTTCAATGATCAACAACATCATTTGAAACATGGTTTTTAATTACTGAATACAAATCAAGAAAACGATAATTACATACACTTGAAGAATACATACATCAATTAGGTGAACACATATAATTCACACATGATTCACAAACAATTCAGATAATTAATCTGTATTCAAGGTCATCTATACAGTTATTAGTTAAAGATTGATTGTGTAAACATGATTTTCTCATTAAATTGTTACTTATTCTCAAAATGGATTACCACACACACACACTCTCTGTTTCTTTTACTAATCATACGTGATTTCATTTACACCATCAGTATACAGTTTAATCATTAAAATTAAAAACCAAATTTATAGCTATTAGTGAGTGAATGAGTGACCTGTGAGACCAATATTCATTTCCTTAAAAAAAAATGTTCTAAAATATTAAACAAGGACTAATTTATCATGAATGATATAAATAGATTAAAACGAAAACATATTTGAATAGACTTATATTGTAGAATAATAATTAATAATTGTGGATTTATCCATTTCTATTCAATATTCATGATCATTTCATTAAAACTAATGATTATACTATTGTCAGCATTACACATTAATTGTTTTCCTTGGTTATATAATCTAGAAAACACGGCTACAAACTTGTGGGAACATTTTCTGAATGCTAGTAGAACGTATTTAGATCTATTATTACATAGCCATGGATTGTTACAACTTCAATCACAAAAACAAGAACAAACATCTAACACTGGTGGAATTATAGTGCAGCAGCAACAAACTCAAAACCAAATTCAATCACCATTCGGCATACAATCACAATCACAACATCAGTCTGTAAATATTAATAACCGTCCGACAATCGTTACAACCCCAATAAATAATCCGTTAAGTCCGAATGGTGATGTTGTACCGATTCAGTTCGATCAATCACAACCTCCGCCGAACTCAGCTGATCAGTCACCACCGGATGTTGATAACTTGGTTCCCAGTCAACCACCACCACCAGAACAACAACAACCTGAAGAACAGCCTCAGGAATCACAGGATAATCAAGGTGAGTCAACACAACAGTCACAGCCTGACTCACAAGAACAACCACAAAACCCTGAATCATTACCACAACCCGATGTTGTTGACTCGATATCAGATCAAGCACAACCAACTGAACAATTGCCACAAGACATTCAGCTTGAATCTGATTCTCAACAACCTAGTCCACCACCACAATTAGACGAACCACAGTCCGGTGAAGATACTGTTGATGAATAATCATTAACAGTAGTCATCAGGTCAGTCACAGCTTATATCACATGTTCAACTATTGAGATAATTAATATGTAGAAGAAGGATATTTGATAATCAAAATTTTCGTAATCATCTCATTAATCAGATATAACTAACTGTTAATCATTTTGATTGATAAAATAATTCAATTTGTCTGAAACAATCTTCACTTTGTTAACTCATAGTCAACTTTGTATTATTCGATTAGTTAACTGAATGTTTCATTTCTGGCGTGCAATGATAATGATATTCACGTGAATAATAATAATAATTATACCCGTAGGTTGATTGTTTTCATTCATAATACTTTGATTTATTTCCCAACTGTTGATGTACATTACTAACTACAAACGATTTTTATTATTCTGACAAATCATTTTAGTGTTTACATCACACTTAAACACAGACACACACACTTTCATTCTGTGGGTCGAAAATCCCAATCAACTAATAATTTCATTGTCTGGTCATATGTTCCGGAATACCTATCAGCTGTTACGTTCATTGTGAGTGATTAGAGTGTTGATAAGTATCATAGTGGTTAATGTTTTCATAAAAATGTGCAAAAGAGTCATGTGGTGAAGTTGAACTCATATTCATTTAGCTAGTCTAGAGAAGGATTTACCAACTGCGGTGACAGTGGGACCCGACTGAAGCTGCTACCTTGACGTGGTGGTCGGGCTTGACTATTGTGATGACCCAACCGAGCTATATTGGCTGGAACATATGTTTCTGAAGGTTCTACCATGCCAGGCTGGTCGATTAGAGAATGATGAGACTAAAAGCAGCTACTCAAGGTCTCAGGGCGAAGTCTTACTGCTGACTGTGATGAAGGGGTGTGACAGCAGTAAGGTGTTTCCCTCGGACAACCAACATCTGCAGCGATGCTGCCTTCTCACAAGGAAGGAAGGGTTAGAAAATGTCAACCCTGAAAATGTCACACCTCACCCTACCTCACGGATTTCCGTCTCCGTCGGTAAGGGTGCTTTTAAGAGCGGAGCTAATACTCTAAAAGCTTCTCATAAAGAGGCCGTGAGTTATAGACCTCAAACAGTTGTTCCCTGGGCTCTGCGGTCAGGTCTCTAAGTCCGACACTAATCTACCTTCATTTTCAGGTCCCTTAAGAAACAACCTTCCATGGTGTGGGCAGCTGGGAAGTGACAACCGCCCACATACCCGTAACAGCACACGAGACCCGTAACAGTGACAGTGGGAATCAATGCAGATCAGTATTATTCATGACTAGTTGCAAAATCATCCATAATTCGATGTACAACTCTCTAGTCAATATAATCTCTGTGTATAATAGTTGGTCAAAGTCGAATCGAAATACAATGAAACCAATCGTTTCATATTTATTATCATTTCGAGATGTTTTTTATTCGATCGACTGACTGACTAATCAAGTGTAATTTCCAAATACTTCGTTGAGTTAGTTGACTGATATTTGAAAATCACTAGCCTATTTTTATTTTATCAATGGTAAAAGTTTTGTAATACTACTTTGAAAATCAAAGTACGCATGTATTGATCACAGAGAGTTCTTTCTGAATCTCATCTCCACCAATAATTTATTAGAAAGTTATCAAAGCTAATCAAATAAAATTAACTGAAAAGTTCTCTATCAACAATGGTCATACATCAAGATTTTCATCATTTTACCATAAATCACTATATAATCAACTGATCTTCTATGATCATTAGAAGTAAAACAGTATTTGGTATGCAAATTAGTAATAGCCAAAACGAAACAGTTCCTACTGTCGTATTAGTCATGTATAGACTAGTATGAAAGTCAGTAAGAATCTGTGAGCATAATTGAAAGGAATGTATGTTTTTGATAATGATGAATGATAATGTACAAAGAAATCGATATTTCTTCAAAAGTTAACCATAAAACAGTAAATCGAAATAAGAGAAAAACGGTTTGAATTTAACTCTATTGGACATTAGCCTAAAATGACAGAAAAAACTAATAATTTCCAGTGCCTCCAGGTTTCTAATGGTGGTCTAACAATGATTGACTGATGATTTCAAATGTGTAAAAACGCAAACCTCCAAAACTCTGCCCAGAATAATTTCTCCTACAAATTTAAAACACTTTGATCACTCACTATACAACCGCATTTCAGCTAAACAGTTTCTGTAGGATAAAAGTACTTTTTGTTTTCGAATTTTACACTAAAACCTACAGTATTTTTTATTAGTTCTCACTGGGTCGTACATAAATCATGGTCTAATTGAACTGATATCTAAACACACTTCATTTAAGGCTCTTCCATTATCATCAGAACTTTGGATCAGAAGCAAATGAATGAGTGTCACAATCGTCTGAATCGATTTTGGATAAACTGTGAGCTCCCGATCGGATATCGCTTGACAATGGATTCTGTGAAGTAAGCGATATCATTTAAAGATATGCGTAGAGGAGATCAGAAATAAAATGATCTGAAATGATTTTAAGAAGGTATGACACCTCATATAGAAAGCTTAGAAAACCTTATGTTAAATATGGTGCATTTAAGTGTAAGATGATCTTCAATGGATTTTATCACGTCCGAATTCGCTAAACGTTCGTACCTTCTGATGACCTTGAACCTCCCCAACTATGTTACGCATGCGCGTGAGCACATCATTTGATATGCTTGAACTAATACGAGTTTACCTTAGTCGGAAACGAGAGCGAGGGTCATTAATCTGGGGACACGACATACTACTCTAATTCGAGTTTTCCAAACCCCCATTGAATAAAAAAGAAGACTTGATATGAAGTAGAACCTGTATTCTACAAGCATCCAGAAAGTACGAGGTCTGAGTCCAGAAGCGAATCAGGATCCCGGACTAGGGATCCGGGTCTGGGTCATAAATATTGCAGATAATGCGTATTTATACAGTTTGGCTGGATAGGAAACAACAATAAAGTATGTGACACTGATAGTTAGGATGATCAATAGGAATTGACCAATAGAAACAGACTTACAAATAATTCACCTAGGATATTAGATGAATATTCTAACAAAATCAAAGTTCATATATTATTTAGTAAACGCATATATATATATATATATATATATATATATATATATATATATATATATATATATATATATATATATATAGTGTGAAATATTTCACTATTGAGTGACATTATCTTCATATAATTGTGTTGTGTCTTAATGGTGTATGTACTAACCTCCATGCTACAGGGTATTGTTAGTGTAGCGAATAGACTTACTACTCCCAAGATCCCTGTTAACCGTTGGGATGTTACAGGATAGTTTGAAAGGGAGCTGATAGACATCTCACCAGTTTGAAATAACTAATATCTGATAGAGAGAAAATTTTCTCAGCCTTTGTATTGACTTCGTTGATAGTGATGAATGATTTTCATAATGGAATAAGTAATCAGCAAAGTTGAACTTTAAGAACTGTCCTAGTTGAAGTCGTAGTTTCTATTTTTATCTTGTACATTTATTCAATACTTGAACTATTTAATTTTTGTAATTCTCCTACTGTTGTTTGAGCTTTTATGTGGTGGATCAATTATTGTTGTATGTTGTACATTTTTTGAAAATTACTGTCAGTCTATCGGCGGACATATTACTCAGTTCTTTTTCACTTCAGATTCATTGATCACCGTATTGAAACGTGATTGATTGAACAGCAGATGTAGGCTACCTGGTTGGGGTTCACGAGACGAAAGTCACTGATGATTAGAGACTTTGAATGACATGGCTCAAAATCGTTTACAATGGCGCAAGTGCATCCACTCTTTGAGTTCTTACAAATCCTAATCTTCTGTATTCCTCATAATCTCTATCTTTCTCCTTCTAAATTTATCTCACTGAATTATACTTTTCGAATCATATCTTCGCTCCCTAATCCTCTCCATTGAACTGACAATTACATCTCTGTGCTAATTTGTTATGGCAAGATGAACTGATGTACTTACGTATGAAGTTCTACGTTGTGACTGACTGACTGACTGACTGATTGAACAAGCTAGTTTAGGGTTGTTTTATTTTAAAAAAAATTTGATAATTATTAGTTGTTGAGAATTTCTACATTAATTTTTCTTACAAATTTTCTCGGTAATTAATCTCATCTTTTCTATCAACATTGTACGCTGCAATAATTACAAAATGATACTACCTTTAAGTTACTAATGTTGTAGAGAAGAAAATAACGAATGAGTTGAGAAATAATTTTTAAGAAAATCTATTCGTTATTAATGGTTAAATCTCGTGAAAATGAATTTTGAAACAAGTATCTAACCAGTTAAAAAAAAACTGGTTAGAAATAATGGTGATTCACAAGAATTTCTGCGCAGTACACGATAACTAGTAACATTTCGTTTCTTATAATAAGTAGTTCATGAGTCTATTTAGTTCAAATCAAGTTGTTTAAATACGATATCATCCATTGTTAGTTATATAACCGTTGGTTACCAATGAATTTATTGGTTTCCTTATTACAACTGCTTTATAATCCTGTAAGGGATTTTTGAAGATTCGTTCATTTTGAAGATGATTTTCCTCATCACTGACTGATGTGTACTGAATAACGACTAAAAAGTAAGTTCTAATCTTCGATCAGTCAGAGATGATCACTTGTAGTGAGTGCTTTTTATGTCTAGCTAATAAGGCCTGTCCTTGTTAATTATTCGCTCATATCAGCGTTGCCTTAATTCATGTATGTGCATTCCTATCTGACTTATTACATGCCTGGCTTATTTTTAGTCATGCCTAATCGAATGGAGTTGACTCTCTCGCCTCCTCCATCTCAATTCACTTCGCTTCGCTTTGATCTGCTTGTATGCTTTTTGTTATCATGTTTGCATGAACGATTGTCTGAAATAAACTCATCCAATGGAATCTGTATTTGACTTCTGATTACCACCGTCGCACAAATTAGGTTCGCTCAAGTATAGTATGGGAAAACTGATAGGGAGATTTATTTCATAGCATACTCATTTGTTCAAAAATATTGTGTCGCCGCGGGCCATCAAAGTGGT